CTATTAGACTTTAAGGGTACCTTAATCTACCCTTAATAGGGTCCTAATAGGGAATTTTAGGGTCTAATAGCCCATAATGGTATCAAACGCCCGCATCATTCTAGAATAGCACTCTGAAGGGTGTTGTGTTTTAACAACGAGGGGGGTGCAGGGGCGGGGTTGTGCTAATTAAGGCCGACCTATATAAACCAAGCAGGTTTTGCGAAGGATCCAGGTGCCTACCAAGTACAACCCAAACCCCATAAGTATGTACAATAATAACCCTTAAGCCCCTAATAAACAGCCCAACAAATTCTACATATGTTAGGTGTCCAGGAAGCACCGGGCACTTCTAGTTCAAGAGCTCCAGCTAGATTTGAGATGCGCAGCTTCCAAGAAGCCCGACCCCTTGGGACCCCTTGGGAACTAAGGGTTTAGGGTGTAGGCCACTTTGAATTTGGGTAGTCACTCCTGTGGCGTGAACCACCGAATGCATATTTCTTCTGAAGCATCGTTGCTGAATCTTCCCGGAATGTTGGCCCTGTGCAGAACTTCCTCCTTTGTAAAATCGAAAAGCAACGTCTGAGTACAAGCCTCCTTTGAAAGAAACCTTCCCGTCTGGGGTGGGATATGGCAAATTGTCGAATGGTCCATGTCTAGCCCTTAATCCTTGTTAGCCCTGAATCCGAAACCCTAAACCCTGAACCCTAAGCCCTAAATCCTAAACCTTCATAGGGACCTCCACAGTCCCTACAGAGTCCCCATACATCCCTAGGGTGCCTAAGTCAGAGGGTCCAAGTAGCCAATCCCAGAGGGTCCAAGTACCCCATTATTAGGTACTTGGGTGTTGGGAAATAGTAATTGTAGTACAGGTTTTGGGTAAGCATCTGATTATTTGGTACTTGGACCCTTAGGGAATATTAGGTACTTGGGTTTAGGTTGGGCTGAAGGGAGTAGTAATCATAGAAAAGATTTCGGGTAAGTATACGATTCTTAGGTACTTGGACCGGTAGGGTAAGCCTACAGCCTCTGCTTTTCAAGCACAAACTCACAAACCAGCTTTTCGCAAAAATCTGTGTTCCACGCCCAAAGTCACCCAGAATGACCTCAAGTGACCCCAAGGGTTGAGGGCTCGGGGCTTATCCTTTTTTTTGGGGGGGGGGCTTCCAATGCTTAGAAGTCCTCTTTTTTTTGTCATGGTACTCTCTGTTAAAGATGATAGCTTTTCAGTGTATATGACGGGAGCAGACCCCTATTCTTGAAACAGCAACATCCTTATGAAGTCTCTGGCAGGTAGTTATGCGGGGCCATTTCCCTGAGACATGTGGGTCCCTCTTGTTCATGCACAGGAAGCCCTAAACCCTAAACCCAAACCCAAGAACCCACCTTTCTCCGGCATCTGCATGATGGGCGACGACAGGCCTGACAAATGTTGGCCCAATTAGACGTAATCTGCCCAGCTGCCCTTACAACCTCATAAGGGTGAAAGTACTCAATACTTGAGTACTTGGGATGGGTAGTATTAGTTGTAGTCCAGGCTTTGGAGAAAGTGGCGAAGCATCAAAAAGATAAGTACTTGGACCTTTGGCCCCTAAACCCTACATATCCTCTACTACGTCTACATAGATATGTACATATATACACATAGATATACCACACGTCCCCAGAACCCCTTGAAGAGGCGCCTTATTGAGTACTTCTAAAGAAGCTCAAAGATGGGTAGTTGCACCTTTGACATCCCGCTGTCGATGCTTGCAGTGAGACGGATCTTGAAAACGAGGTGCCCTACTGCAGGGTGTAAGGTTCAGGGTCTAGGGTACACCACCATGGGCTATTAGACCTGAAGGGTACCTTATTCTACCCTTAATAGGGTCCTAATAGGGAATTTTAGGGTCTAATAGCCCATAATGACATGGCGTTCCTGTTCCGAGTACTGTACATACGCATGTGAACTATGCAAATCTTTGGGCTAAACCATGGCCTTTACGATTATACAATTTCTGTTACTCCGGCTAACGCCATGGGTACTGACTGATCCTACTATTACTAGTAAGGAGAATTTCAATGAGCTCCGAGAAAGTGATCAAGCCCTAAACCTGCAGGCAGGGAATCCCTAAACCCTACACCCTAGACCCTAACACCCTAAAACACCACCAGACCTAGACCCCCAGACCCTACCCCTTTGTTAGGATGCCTAACTGTATGCCTAGTATCTTCTACACACAACATTAAATACACTCAAACAAGTGATGGGGTATAGGGTTTAGGTAGACGTGTAAGAAGATGTTGCTAACCCCAACATCCAAAACTAGGATCCTAGAGCTACTGTAGACCCCTGATTAATAAACCCCTCCTTTTAAGGGCCTTACCATATACGGCCTTTAGGGTTTTGGGTTTAGGGATTTTGAACTAGGCGTAATTCACAACCCCTAAACCCTAAACCCTTAACCCTAATCCCTGAACCCCTGTTCCCTAAACCCTAGACCCTTATCCCTAAAGCCTGTTCCCAACATCCTAAGCCCTAATCCCTAAACCCTAAACCCTGAAAGTCCCTGACCTGTGCATCTCGCTGAGCTCCCGACGACACGCTCATACAGCAAAGCCAAGGTTGCCAAGAGAACTCCGAGGCATAGCACCTGGCGATGTTAAGATTAGCATTTAAAGTTTAAGGGGGTATATTGGTTTGGGTTAAGTTTAGGTTTAGAATGCTGGATTTCGGGTTAAGGGTTTGGAAGTGTGAAGACATTAGCACTTAGAGTTGGGGGTTTAGGATTTAGAGTTTAGGGTTTGGGGCGTTAGGATTTAGAGTGTGGGGCTTAGGGTCTAGGATTGTTTAGCTTTAGGGTATTGGGTCTAGGACTTGAAGTTTAAAGCTAACGGTTTCCGATTTAGAGTCTAGGGCTTAGGGCTTTCGATCTTGTGTTTAAAGTTTAGGGCTCATAGTGTTTAGACTTTAGGGCTTAGGGTTTTGGGTTCATGGGAGCTGTGCAGGGCTCATGTCCTGGGACTGCTATGGTCAAGAATCTTTCTTCTCATGTTCTACAAGATAAAGGCTTCCCCACCAACATACTTGTTCTTTCTTGCTTTTGCTCCAGAGGGCCAAACCAAAAGGACAAGGGGATGCTAGGTGAATATACTTTTGCAGCAGGAGCGATTCTCGAACAAAAGTGTTTGTTCCTAAGCCTTAGACCCTGAATTTGTTTTTTGCCTTTACTCCAGAACGCCAAATATTTGAAAAAGAGAAGGGATTCCCGACCAAAATGGGCCCTGGGGGGTTAGGGTTTCCGCAAGGTTGGGTGACTCTTTTACTGAGCATTATTTCTGGGCGACCGGGCCAACTAAAATAAACGAACAGGAAAAACAGATTTTCTAGATCCAGGCCTAGAGGTTAAGATAGCCTTTTAGTGGGTGTCTATTTCTGAGCGATCTTTCCAACGCACACACAACAAGAGCAGCTCAAGAAAAGCCATAAACTCCAAACCCTAAAGACCCCAAAACAAACTAGAGACCCTAAAGCCCTACAAACCCAAAACGACCTAAAGACCCTGAACCATGAAACTTCCCGACGCCCTTAAGCACCCTAACCCCCCAACGATGAAAAGCCAGACCTAAGGACGTGGAGGCCCCTCTTCTCCGCACATGGCTATGTGAACTGCAATCTAAGCTCCTTAAAGGGGGTTCTATGCATAAACCCCTAAACCCTACACCACTAAACCCTAAACCCCTAAACCCTAAACCCCTAAACCCTAAACCCCTAAACTCCAGACGTGAACTCCTAAACCCCTAGACCTAAAACCCCTAAACCCCAAACCCTAGACCCTAACCGAGGGCCGGGCTGCTGCTGCCGGGTGGTGTCTCTCAACTTCAGCCATGACAGCCAAGGCTTCAGTACCAGCCTTCTAGGGAGGTACATTTCAAAATACAGGGGTTCGGGGTTTAGGGTTTAGTGTTTAGGGTTGAAATTTCAGGGTTTAGGGTTCAGGGTTTAGTGTTAGGCAGGTAAATTTCAAAAACATCTAGAATTCAGGGTTTATGCTTTAGTGTTTAGGGTTGAAACTTCAAGGTTCAGGGTTTAGTGTTAGGCAGGTAAATTTCAAAACTCCCAGGGTTTACGCTTTAGTGTTTAGGGTTTAGATTTCAGGGTGTAGTGTTCCGGGTTTAGTGTTAGGCAGGTAAATTTCAAAAAATCTAATCTTTAGTGTTTGCGGTTTAGTGTTTAGGGTTTAGATTTCAGTGTTTTGGGTTCAGGATTCAATCTTAGGCAGGTAAAAGTCAGAAACATCTAGTCTTTAGGGTTTATAAGTTCAGGGTTTAGGGTTTAGATTTCAGGGTTTAGGGTTCAGGGCTTAGTGTTAGGCAAGCAAATTTGGAAATACTAGTGTTGAGGGTTGAGGATTCAATGTTTTGGGTTCAGGTTTCAGGGTTTAGGGTTTAATGTTAGGCCTCAAAAAAATGGTTTAGGGTTTGCGGTTTAGTGCCCGGGGTTTAGATTTCAGAGTTTAGGGTTCAGGGATTAATGTTATGCAAACAAATTTGAAAATACTAGTGTTTAGGGTGTAGGATTCAGTGTTTAGGGCTTAGACTTCAGGGCTTAGAGTTCAGGGTTCAATGTTAAGCAGGTAGATTTCTAAACACATCTAGTGTTTAGGGTTTGCGGTTTAGTGTTTAGGGTTTAGATTCAGGGTTTAGGGTTCAGGATTTAGTGTTACGCAAATAAATTTCGAAAACATCTAGTCTCTAGGGTTTACGGTTTAGCGTTTAGGGTTTGATTTTCAGGGCTCGGGGTTTCCTAGGCAAGTAAATTTAAAAATGCTAGTGTTTAGGGTTTATAAGTTCAGGGTTTAGTGTTTAGATTTCAGGGTTTAGGGTTTAGTGTTTAGGATTCAGGGTTAATGGTTTCGGGTATGTATAGAAATAACGCTCGGGCATGAACAACTTGGTTGTAATTCGAGTGCTTTGATACCATGTATAAAGTAACGCCACGGGGATGTAGGTGACAACGTTGTTAGGTACGCTTTAAAAGAACTAGCTGTAGGGGATAAAAGTTATCACTAGGTTGTAACTGAATGCTTTGATCCCATTTATAACAGTAACTATAAGAGAATGTAAGATACAACTTGGTTATAACGTGTAGCTTTAGTGGCCTATTAAAGATTAACATTTTATGGCTTTATAAAGAGCCCGAGTCGCTGTGAGAGTGCGCTTTT